TGGATGCTGGTGAAAAAATATACCATATATATCCAGATGGCCATATTTGGTCTAAGACATTGACCTAAAATGGCCACGTGACCCTATATGACCATATATGCAGCTGTACAACCAAAGGAGCGGAGTGCTGGCGACATCATTGAAGATATATGTCACTTGGTCATATTTGTTCAAAGACATTGACCCAATATGGCCATATAAGGTAAATGTCACCAGCATCCTGTCCCTTTGTTTACATGCAGCTGCACATTAAGTAGCTGGATGCTGGTTAGAACATTGACCATATATAGCAAAATGGCTATATTTGGCCTAAGACATTGACCTAATATGGCCAAGTGGCCATATACGGTCAATTATGTCACCAGCATCCCGTCCCTTTGTTTACATTCAGCTGCCAAATTTTTAACGCGAGCTCATCCCTAGCCAGCAACCACACAAAGATGCCAACTTTATATAAAGTTTGTCTTTTTCAAAGCCTAAGAATAATTTCAGAAGTGATCAGAAAAGGTGAGAAGAGCCACTCATTTGTATCCTTGTTTCTATATAGTGTTATGCTGCAATTTGAAGTGCGCAGAGACAGGCAAAAAACGGCGAACGGATTGCACGTAATCCAATCCAAGAGCAGCCCAGCGCAGCTCTCTGTGTGATTGGCTGCTTTCTTTAGACTGTCATATCTCTGCAGCCGCCCCCTTCCCTACCCTGTGATTGAGTTACATTGTATCATTCCCTGTGACTAAGCTAAGAGTGAGTGTGACCAGGAGGTACTAGGTGTGGAGAGTCTCGTGATCGTGACACAGATGAGTGAACTTTAAGTCTCTGGGTGTAAACAAATCACATTTTGTATTCTGTCCATGTGAACTGTGAGAAGTCAGAATATTTGTAATCTATTTTTATAAACTTACCCCAACAGTAATGCTACTGTTTCCACCCTCAAAATGGGCACAGCAGGTGTACAGACCCGGGAACTCAGCACAGGGATGGTGGGAGCTCCTCATAATGGGCACAGCAGGAGTACAGACACAGAACTCAGCACAGGGATGGTGGGAGCTCCTCATAATGGGCACAGCAGGTGTACAGACCCGGGAACTCAGCACAGGGATGGTGGGAGCTCCTCATAATGGGCACAGCAGGTGTACAGACCCGGGAACTCAGCACATGGATGGTGGGAGCTCCTCATTATGGGCACAGCAGGTGTACAGACCCGGGAATAGGGTTGCCACCTTTTCTTCAAGCCAAACCCGAATACTCTACCGACGAGCGGACATTTTTTTGGGAGAATGAGTTGCGGCTTATTCATATGTAAATATCACAGTTGAGGCCATTTTCAGTGGGGGGAGCAGTAGCCCCTATGTTAATTTTGGATGCCCCTGCCTGCCTGACATCCTGTGTCCGGGTTTCTGCTGCCACGAAACCCGGACACAGCATTCAAAACCCGAACTGTCCGGGTGAATCCTGGACAGGTGGCAACAGGGATGGTGGGAGCCCCTCAGAATGGGCACAGGAGGAGTACAGACCCGGGAACTCAGCACAGGGATGGTGGGAGCTCCTCATAATGGGCACAACAGGTATACAGACCCGGGAACTCAGCCCATGGATGGTGGGAGCTCCTCATAATGGGCACAGCGGGTGTACAGACCCAGGAACTCAGCACAGGGATCTCACCAAAAGAATCCCCAAGAGATAGAAGACAGTTTGGGGATTTACCTTTCTAGCAGCTGCCAAAAAAATGAAATGTCTTTAGACTTCACTTTACTACGTTCTGCATGTGATGTGACAGCTGTTGGGTTGGTAAAGTATCTTCTATACAGCTCATGTTGAAGTAAATCTGCACCTAAATTCTAAAGAAAAAAAAAAAGCCCAAACATCCGTTCAGATTTACGTACACTGCACTACTCCAACCCTAACTTAATGCAGGTTAATGTATAAATTCTTGGTGATTTGGGCAGTGTTTTCCCCTTCCTTTCACAAGTTGACTACACTGAATGGCCTGCAGTGAATTGCGTGCAGAGTTGTCTCCTTGCTCTGCTATGTAGCCACACGGACTACAGCAATGCATCGCTACTTTCTGAAGGTCTTTGTCTTCTTAAAGCTTTTCGGAAAGCCTTAGGCTGAATTTGCACTGTTTTGGTGCCTTAAAGCATTTCTACACACAAAAAACACAAATTTAGTGTATTGCATTTTACTAGTCCGTAAATGCGGTGGCTGCATTCGTTTTCTAGAATGCATCATGTTCTGCAAACGAATTTATGTATGTCCGAATATAGTTTTGGTATATTCGGGCATATAATAAATTTGTTATTTCGGATTCGGACGAACCACCGAATTTCCCTGATTTGCAGGTTCTACCGAATCCGAATGCACATGTCTAGTAGCACCATCATTTTATTCTAAAATACAGACATCTCAACTCTCCCGGATGTTCTGGGAGTCTCCCGCTATTAGATAGCAGCTCCCGGACACCCGGGAGAGAAACATTTTCTCCCGGAAAGGTTTACTCTGCTCGATCTAGCAGAGTAAAACTTTCCCTGCTATCTGGTTTTTTTTCCTGACATCGGGGCCGCCAGCGGCCATCAGTCAGAGAAAATAAAACGGCATAGGAATGAATAGCTGGATTGCTATTGGCTATTTCAATTTGCAATAGCAGTCTCGCTCAATCAGCAGAGGTGGACCTGAAGTTCTCCATCAGGTCCTCTTCTGTAGACTGACAGCAGCAGAGGGCAGGTGCAATAGCCAGCGTTCTATTGACTATTGCAAAAGCCAATAGCAGCCAGCTGCTGCCAAAGGGCAGCAGCTGTCAGAATACTATAAAAAGAAAACCAGCAGATTGCACGGGAAGCATTAGCTCCTTTGCTATCTGCCATCATTTCAGGGGGGTGCTCTTTTTTTTTTGCAAGTAATTTTTATTGAAGAATTTTCAACAATATATGCATAAAAGGTAGGATTGATCGCAGAAGTATCACAATCTCAGCGGGGGTGCTCTCCTTGTTGCACCCCCCTGAAATGCCCCCGCTGGCTGGCTTGACAGAGGGCACCTCCCTGAAATGACTTATTTCAGGTTGGGATCCCTGAAAATGTTTACAAATACTAGCAACGCAGCAATAGAAAAATCAAAACAATGGGAAAAATTGCAAAAATGGTGTGGCCAGCTGAGGTTAAAAGCGTTAGACTTGGCAGCTAAAGGGTTAAGGGAGCCTATTGATTCCACACAACTCTCTTTAAAATAACATTCACTGGAGTTCATTTTTCGAAGTGATACTTTGTAACAGGTAATAAGTCCACACAGGAGAATTATCTTAAGTGACACAAAGGTTGTGTGTATCATTGTTTTTTCCGGTAAGGTGAACAGGGTTGTCAGAGTGGTTTTTTTTCTTTAATGTAAATCTTTATTTTAGTTTTATCAACTTTACAAAAAGACAAAAAGGGAAAAATAGATATACGGAAACAGGAGATCATTACAAGTTTCTACCAGGCATTATCATGGCCATAAGGCCCATCAAACGTCAGAGCGTTATTTTCCATCCTGTTCGAAGAGATAAAACGTCACTAATTGCATTATAATATCACCGCCTGTCACTGGCGGTGAGAGACATCACAGAAAATGACCGTGGGGCAATGCCTGATAAGATCTGGACTTTGTTTTCAGGTCTTGCTGATAATATGCTCTCTCTATGCCTTGGAATAAGAGCAAGCTAAAACTTGGACAAGAGCTCCCTCTAATGTCCACTTATAACTATAACAGGTCGACCAACTTTCCAAGCCGCCTTCCTCAAGTTTTATACCCCAGAACCAGTCGTGTATTTTGGTTTGGGGCTGCCCTAGGCAAGACGAAACTCGGGCAACCCCCCCCCCCCCTTTATAATAATCTAAATTTGCCCAGCCCATTCATGTTAAAGACTTTCTGTCCGAAACTGTAAATGTCTGTATTGCTCTGATTTGAACCAATATTTTAATATCATTTTGCAACTTTCAGTACTTCTAATCTCAAGGTGAATAGTAAAACGCATTTTTTTGGGAAAATCGATGGAAAAAAATGGTCATTGGATGGTTAGAATCTCAATTTTCTGTATTTCTCCTTAATATAAAGAGCATCCGTCACATCATCGTTTGCATAATTATTAATGTAGGTGGTGTCTGGGCCACAATCAATAATATATGTATCACTGCCATCTCCTCCTGTTAAGGTGCCTCCGCCTCGTCCTTTTTAAATGAAGTTTGCTTTACCGTTACCTTGAATTGTATCAAAGTATGAGGAGCCAATTAATGTCATTATATGCTAATTTCCTGGAATGGAATTTAAGTTAATATTTACTCCCTTTTCAGACTTACTATAGTCTAACACCAGCGGGTAGTTTTGGGGCTCTGCTGTTGTATTGGAGACCTGAAACTCAACTAAATCTCTGGTTTTGAATATGATGTGCTGCCATTGCCATCCTCTCTCCCAGTCCTTCATGATGACACAGCTCTTCCCATTGGTGTCTCATATCTTCAGAGAATATTGGGATATTAGAGTAACTTTTAAGCTTTCAAACTCTGCAGGCAACTCAACTATGTCCATTAAGTCATCATATGCAAAATCATCAATGGTGTCGCAGCTCTCCTTTTCCTGTATAATATACATGTCTTTTCCCTCTCGGCCAGCAACAGTATTGGCTCCGCCTCGTCCCTGAACCACATTATTCAGCTGATCTCCATTTAAAATGTCATCAAACTCCGTTCCTATGAGTGTAACTACTGTATTCCAAGGTGAATCTTGCAAGTTAATGTTTCCGGCAGAATCAGAATCTGAAAAATCCACAGTCACGGGCCGTAAATCGACGTTTCCACTCAACTGGACTTCCGCAACATCAAATAAAATTCCATCTGAACTTTTAAAGTGCATATGTACCAGTGAAGTGAGTTGACAAACGTGTTTTGATAAAGTTTTAAAAAATACAGCAATAATAAAGTGTGGATAAAATATGGAGAATATCAATAAATATGGAAATAGAATCCAGAATAAGTGCAGTTTAAAATCTATAAACAGCCCAGAGTTAAAAATAGAAATCGCTTTCAGCCATATCGATGGCCCAGGCAAACTTGTCCCGCAGTGTCTTGTTGTAGATCTTCTCTAAGCCAATATTCCATTTCTTGCACCTGTAGGTGGGGAAAGAGAGGCCACTATGTTACTTCCTAACTTAGTGACTGATCAAGCAACATGGGTCATGTGACTCTACTCGCTCATTTCTTCAGGTCAAGTACTGATATTGATTTGTATGGGGTAAAAAAAAGATGAGTGGCAAGCCATAGGGATCAGTCCAGAAAGAATCTTCATTGGTCAGATTAATAGGGTCTAGCGTGAGGTGACAGCCAACACATTTTGGGGTTATGCGCAAACCTACCTTCATCAGGGCTTTGATTTCACGTGCAAGACATTAAATCTACACTGTGATGCTCTGATAAAGCTGGACTTGTGCATATCCCCCAAAACACATCTGCTGTCAACTCCCGATCGACTTTTTATACCTCCCAACTGTCCCTCATTTGGAACCAAGTCTCGGTCCCTCTTTCCTCTTTCCTCCTCAGTTGTCCCACTTTTTGGTCTGATGTACATATATAAAAAGGTTCTAACTTTCTGCACTAAAACCTTTATCTTTGTCTCTTTAGTATCTTTTTAAGTATCTTTTTTGCTATTTGGAGAAGTCAGTATAACGGAAACATGATGGTGGAAAACAACCAATGATTTTTGGCATATAAATTCCTAATGGTCCATAATCTGAGGGGGGGGGGGTCGTGTCCCCATTGCCTGATTACAATGTGCTTCAAGATATCCCTCTTTCTCATCTCAGAAAGTTGGGAGTTATGGCTTTTAATAGAAAGATTCAAGTTGGTCCGTTCCCTATGGCTTAGCGGTCTCCTGTTTTCACTCCATACAAGCAAACTTCCCCAGGGACTCTGTTGGAGCATCACCAGCTGGAGAGAGCTGCCATACTATATCATATGATACACCCAGAACCTCCTCCAAACTTGGAATCCAATGCTCCATTACCCAAGACCACAGGTTTTAAAGGAAATAAAGATTGATTCTGTTGACAATTAATGCAAAGGTTTCTCAGGGTGGAACTTGTAACTTTTGGTGAAGTGAAACCAAGGATATTGCCATTTATGTGTCTTCAGTCAGGCACTAGTAGAGGAATGTACCACGTTAGCCATCGATTAGTGCAGAACATTTAAAGTTTAGGAGATTTCCTTATATTTCTATTATTGGCCAACTTAAGTTAAGATGCAAGTTTCCAGGATCCCTTAGATCCCTTTATGAGGATTCAAGGAATAAAGTCCTAAGAAGGGATCTAATGAATCCTCAAAGCTGCATCTTTCATAACGTAAAATGCAACTGAAGCCAACACTATAGTTTTGAATAGAGTAGAGATGGATTAGAAATCCTGTCAGGTTTTTATTTCCGTTAGTGTCTCAGGGAGGATCAATCTATCTGTCCTGATGACTTACCATCCAAAGTGAAATAAAACCCCACATTTTGTCACCAGAGCAGGAATAGATGGGAAATTTTCCAATAGGGACACTACGGCTGACCACTATGGATTTCCCTCTTTTTGGAGGGATTTGCTCTCACTTCCTTTTCTGGCTATTGGGCAGGAAATAGGGGAAATCTCCACAATGGTACACAGGTGGCAAAAAAAATTAAATAAAGCAGACGGGTTATAACTAGGGATGCACAGATACTAGTACCGGTGCTGATTCCGATACTAGTATCGGTGCCGATACAGAGTATTTGGGAGAGTACTCATACTTGCCCAAATGCTCCAATGCCTAGCCCGATACTTTCTGTATCAGGAAGCCGAGCAGCGACTCATTACGCGTTGCCTGGCTTCCCGATTGGCCGGGAAGCCAGCTCCATGCTCCCTTGTCACCTGTGACGAGAGAGCATGGAGCCGACTTCCCGGCCAATCAGGAAGCCGGGCAACGCGTATTGACGCGCTGCCCGGCTTCTTGATTGGTCAGTAAGCTGGCCAATCAGGAAGCCGGGCGCCGTGTAATGACCCAGCGCCCAGCTTTCTGATTGACCAGGAAGCTGGCTTCATGCTCCCTCGTCATCTCATGACAAGGGAGCATGGAGCCAGCTTCCTGGCCAATCAGGAAGCAGGGCGCAGAGTCATTACACGGCGCCCGGCTTTCATGATTGACCAGCAAGCCGGCTGCATGCTTTCTCGTCACAGTGACGAGAAGCATGGGACGGCTTCCTTGTTAATCGGGAAGCCGGGTGGCGAGTCATTACATGCTGCTGGCTTCCTGAATGGGACTTCCAATACTCAGAATTTGGTATCGGTGAGTCCCGAAAAAATAAATATTGGTACTTGTACTCAGTACCTAAATACCGGTATCGGTGCATCCCTAGTTATAACCTTCCCTTACCCTATCAACAAAAAAAAGTTTTGGCTTCAGTTCTACTTCAAGTTAGCCAATAAAGGGGATCATCTATGCTCCAAACTTTCTTTTCTATGGCAGCTTTTGTATGCTCGGAAGTAAACCACGGAGATTACAAAGATTTACAACTAATGCAGACACCTGGTAAACGGCAACATATTGCATTTTTGTTCTTGGATTTAGATGCCGAGAGACTGTTGCTTGTGACCATAATTAAAGCATATTTTGTAGGTGCAAAGACTATAGCATATATATATATATATATAGTGACAGAGGGAGATCCCTTTAGGCCCCTTTCACCATTACCACAATGTGGTCATCAATGGAAAATGGGTATTAAACTTTTTTTTTTAAATATAAAGATGGCTGAGGCATACAAGAAACCCATAAAGGTATTTAATAAAGAAATGATATGCTGCCCCGATTCCCATGAGATCAGAGAAGGACAGGTGATATTTTACTCACCAGGCCACTGAGATACGGGGATCCAGATAGTTTAGCTTGGAGGTGCCCAGGGCAATCTGCTTGTTCTCCTCTCTGTCCGTTGCCTGCACCTCCAGTTTCATGATTTGCTCCTCCGTTCTCTGTAGAGCCTTCCTCTTACTTTCTATAAGCCTGAGTATTAGAGAAGAGCAATTCAATGAGTGGAAAAACTGAACATTGGCACCTTTTACACGACATCCATTCCTACAAATAAATGGGGACATTTGATTGTGAGTGCCTGTGGGTAAGGAATGATGCAGATGGTTTAATGTGCTTTGTACAACGCCATGGAAGTGTTGGCACTATATAAAACAACTCTAAGGGCAAGTTAAAGCTCCAGCCTTCAGTCTTGTACAGTACTCAGACTCCTCTATTGTACTGAAATTGTGAGCGTCTCACAGAGTGCAGTAGAAGCTGCAGCAAGTCAGATAGAGCCTGCGTCATGTCCTGGCTGGAGGACATCCAGCATTTTTCTCCCCAGCATTACTGTCCCTGGTCCACCCCATTCATTGGGTTTTGTTCTTTCAATCGGGCGGCCCTGGTGGCAGTGAACTGCAGTCATATACAGCCAGTTTTGTACATGCTGTGATGGCTGCCTCTAGGCTCACTTACTTAGGCGTCATCTACTATTGAGCGCTGAACTCTACAATAGCATTACTTGCTATTGTCCCGTGCGTTACCTACTCAGGACCCCTGTACGCCATGCGTTACATACTCCTGACCCATGCATTATGTTACATACCCCTGATTCCTACTCTCTGCTACATGCACTCTTAACCCCTGTATTTTGCAGTACACACGCTTGACCTCTGCACTTTGTGCGTCAGGCACTCTTGACTCCTAAAGTCCATGAGTTACGCACTCCTTATCCCTGGACTCTGCGTTACACATAATTGACCCATAGTACAGTAGGTTCAGGGTTTATTTTTCCATGCATCTTCAGCTGCTCCCCACCCGCATGTTTTGCTACAACCAAATGTTTCAGGGCATGCTTAAAATGGGGGTGTGATTTTGTGGGTGTGGCTTCAAATGAGGTGTGGGTTATGGGTGTGGCTACAAGTGGTCAAAATCTGGTAACCTTAGCATGGTCCCAACCCTGAACAGGACACCCTGCACTCATAGTGTATTGATGTAGAGAGCTGTCCAGTCATATAATCACAAGAAGACTGAAGTGGAAGAGAGGTCAGCAGAAGATATCAGAAACATAACAAAAGTTAAAACATTATAGCAGGGGAATGTTTTTCAACTACATACTTTTTGAGCTTCTCGTCATTATTTTCTTTAGCTTGCTTTTTGGCTTCCTTCAGCTCCTTCTTGACCAGTGCCATCTGTTCTTTCCTGGCGTCAATCTGAAAACAAATTATTAGCATGTATAAGTCAACTGAGAGTGAAGGAAGAATTTGGTTACTATCAGGAAGCCCAGATTGCTGTACACCAACATAAGTGGTGTAACACTGTAGTGTAGAGCATATAAAGTGTTGTGGACAATGCTGAAGGAACAATATAGGGACTTGAAGAGGCAAAAATGTTATCCTACTACAATCATTCCTGGTGGGGAAAAAACCTCCAGCAGAGAAACAAAAAGTGTTCAGTCTCTCTTTATACCATGCAGGAGGAAATCATTAGAATCTTAGTAGGCCCCTGCAAGTTGAGTTGGTGTGCGTCTGGACTCTGGAGGGTATACCAGCTGCTAGCTGTGTGGCTTGAGACTTTAATGCTTACCTCTTATGACTGATGCTTAGATGGCCAGTTAGGAGCCCTGGGCAGTGAGACTCACCCAGACTGGGGTAGATGAACAGTCTGGTGTAGATAAATGAACCCACAGAGCATCTAAAGTATAATCTGTTGGGTCGCAGCCATTTTTGAACAAAGAAAATAGTAGAAACCTCACCTTGGTTTTTAAGTTGGCCATAGACTGGTCAAAAGTCTTGGGGGGTGCCCGCTGATGGTTGCAAAGTATTGCAACCGCTCTGTTGGCTCGATTATAAGACAGGATCTTTTCTGGGGCTGTCACTTCCGCTGTAGGGGGTAAAAGGAAGGAAGGATATTGCAATTTTAAAAACACAGAAATACCCATTTATGTAGCAAATACAGATATTTATACATTTTGCATGTTTCCTCCAAAGCGGTGGCCACGGAATCCTCCTCATCTGACACTTTTGAAGGTGTTGGATTTCTGGTCTCATGCTGCATGTGGGGGATCATCAGGGCTGGTGGTTTCTCAGTCGGCCCCTATGTTGCAGCAAGAAACAGTGTTGGGACTGGCAGAAGGGACCACAGTGGACAGAGGACCAGCAATCCAAGACATTCAGAAGTGCTGGATGAAGAGAATTCGCTGGGTTCCACAGCTCTTGAAGGGAGTAAAGATGGGCAGCAGGACAGGAAATAAGTCTCTTTTGGCAATTTAAACTTTTGTGACTTGGTCACACCTAAAATTTACAACGCTTAGAAATGGTAAGGTTAATCTTATGATTTTACACTTCCCTCACATACAGTCCATCCCTTCTTAAGAACAAAATGGAGATCTAAAGAAATGGAATTCAAAATGGAGGATAGAGGTCAACATTTCTAGAGGAAAATCTGACAGAGGCTGATTTACAAGAGTAGAGAATTTTATTCAAGTGGGAATGTTTCCATTATCCAACCATATGAAAAGCTAATTACTGTTCACTTTAAATACCCAATCATGTACAAATGAAAGAAGTAAACTGTCATTGACTTTTCACACAATTGAACTATTCCCACAATTTGAGTGAAGATTCTCAACCTTTAGTAAATCAGCCCAACTATCTGCCCATATTTCTTAAACATACTCTAGTACAGCCTAATACTCCAAAACATAAAACAAATTAAGGTAAGAATGGCTTCTTACGTTCTGTAAGTTCCTCAAGTTGCTGTTGCAGCGTGATCGAGGCGTTGTACGTCCTGAAAACCTTGGCTGTCAGTCCTTCCATCAGCGACTGCAGATGTTTGTTCAGCATCGGTGTCTGTAGCAGAGAGAACTTGGTCAAGAAATGTTTTATTCAGCTAGAATTACTGATGTTGCCTGAAATTCATCGACTCGTCCATTAGATGGTGATCAAACCCTTCAAACAGACATGACTGCAGAGCTTCCCCAAGCCTGCCGTACTTCAAGTACATGTAATAGGTCATATTTACAGAGCTCATTTGACTTGTGATACTATGGACAGGTGGAGAACATGTGGTGTTGGCAGCATTACAGGAGGGGTTCGGGAAATCATTGCACCAATGTCAGAGTAGTGATAGAACAGAGTTTATATACATTAGACAGGGCCTGATTTCCCATAAGGCCAACCAAAGCGTGCATTTTTCAATCTTAGCATTCTCCCCTTCCCAATTCCCAAGACTTCTGTAGCTACAGATCTTCTGCCAATACAGACCAAGATCCGGTATTTGTACAGGATAAGGCACATCGTCAACGTGACAGCATTTGGGTTTGGCAAATGATTGCTCATACACCTAGCACTGCTTTGCTCATTCTCAATCCCCAATGAAGCATAGCCCAGCCCAAGAACAAAATTGTAATATATGCGGTTTACCCGTCCTTACATGTGTTGGCCACATTCATTTTCCAGGCCAAGTACAATTTCTGCAAATACAGAAAAATATGTGCCAGAAAGCTCATATCTTTGTAACGTCCTGTGCACTGAAATCTCAAACAATTTACCAGCTTCCATCTGTGGGCTACAGAATATCTCCCCTTTATTAGGCTGAGGAGGCGTTTGTAGCTGAAATAAAGTGAGCAGTCTAGAGGGATTACACGTCTCTTAAATCGCTACAGTGTGTGACTGTTGTAACTCTAGGACAGGAAATGTGTTAATAGTAGGATCATCAGGTGAGAATAAAGGAAACGAAAGCCTGGAATTCAGAAAACTAATGCCCCCACAACTGGTAAGCTGCAGTGTATTACAATGCTCTTGGGTTTAGATACACTATAAAGCAATATTCAAGTCAAAATGTTTAAGATATTTCAAATGCTGATGAAATCACTTACAATGGATGCGGCTCCTTGATATTTAAAGCGCTGCACAAACTGTTGGCGCTATATAAATCCTGTATAATAATAATAATATAAATGTTTTAGCTTTCTGCAGAACCAATTGGTCCCCTGAGCACTGGTCCCGATATCCTGTTTTAGGGATGCAGGGTCCTATAAAGCCACCCTTGTGTGTACAAGTAAGCTGTGAGAGTCTCAACATACGTACAGCAAGGCAATCCACTCCCCTCCCCACTAGTCCCTCTTCCCTTTTAAGTTAGTAGATGGATAGCTCCTAGAGAAGCTGAGCTGAGAGAGTTGGAGCAGTTCTGAAGCATGACTCAAGTGTTTGGGCAATAATGTAAAGAAACTTTGTTGTGCGATGTATATTTGTTTCATCTGGATTATTAATAAAAAAAATGAATGGAGCTTTATACCACTTTATATTTACCCAGAAAATGAACTTGCAATGCGAGTCTCATACACTAGGATGGCTAAATCTGCAGAACAAAGCAAGCCAGTCTGTCCTGGAGCTGGAAGCATGCCACAAGTGATTATGTCCGGAGCATGGATGAAGATGCTCCCGGCTACCCATGCTGGGGATGCTTCACGGTTATGTTGACTTTAGTGCATGACGGTGAGGTGTCAGAACATGGCCACCCCACCATCTGTTTAAAAGTTATCACGGCTATTACAGTGTATCTGCGCTCCATCCTCTCCCCGATATGAGCTACATTTCTCTTCTGTGAGGGGAAGGGATGACACCAGGTGCTCCAGGCTCCTCTCTCAGCGGGGCTCCTCCGCCAGCTGCAGACAGCCGTCTAGCCAAGACCTGCCAAGTTTAATACATCTGTGTTAATCAGCACCTCGGACAGCTCCGTACAGGGGGAAAAACACTCACATTCAGTCTGTCGAATAGATCATCTCCTTCCTGCTTGTTGTCCATAAACAGCTGGAGGTTTTTAAACACCTGAAAATGGAGACAATCAATCAACAAGTTGCTGAAACCACCGAGATAGCTTTTGTTTGTCTTTTCCAAAGAGTATACGTCAGGAAAAAACTAAATCTTTTTTCTTTATTAAGCAAAGGCCTGGCATCAAGAGGAACCATTTTGCTTAAATGTCTGTGAAGGTTCTCACTCATCCAGGTCATGGTATATCTGTAAAAAGTAAGTCAAGGCAACTGGACTTGCTGCATTTTTCTTGAAAACATTTCACTGGTCAACCGACCAGCTTTCTCTTGAGAAAGCTGGTCGAATGACCAGTGAAATGTCTTCAAGAAAAATACAGTAAGTCCAGTTGCATTGACCTATTTTTTACAGATACATCTTGCTTAAAGTGATACTAAACTCAGGAGTAAAATCTTAAAAATGCATTGAAGTACCTTAACTATTTACAAAAATGTATATGATTTGTGTATCACTCGGCTGTAGAACTTCAAATCATCTCTGAATTGGTGCTGACACTGTCCTTCCTTCTGGGGAGGGGGGCTACTTTTGTTCCCCATGGTCCCTGTGTGTGTTGTAAAGTAGTTACCGCTTCAAGCTCACTCCCATGATGGACTACAATCTCATGTTTAGTTTACTAATTTGTATTGAGATTACAGTCCATCACAGGAGAGAGCTTGGAGCGGTGACTACTTTACAACACACACAGAGACCACAAGTAACAAAAGCCGCCACCCTCCAGAAGGAAGGACAGTGTCTGTCAGTGTTTGTTAATTGTTAGGGTACCTGAAGATTTAACTCCTGAGTTTAGGGTCACTTTAACCAGTTGTGGACCTTAGACCTACTACATTCACCCCCCCCCAAAAAAAAAATAAATAAAGTGATCTAAATACTTTGAGCATGTGTGGCACGCCCTGCTTCTCCTTTTCCACAGCGATCTGGCTGAATTGTGAATTTTCAGGTGACATTTTGAGAGCTGGGACTTGTTCTCTCTATCGCAGGAGCTGCTCTTTTTGCTTCTTTGTAAACTGACTTGCAGAACAGTGTCAATAAGAGTTACGATGTAGCAATGTTATTTTTGCTTCATTGTAACTATTGTGGTTCATTCATTACAGATCAAAGGGGTTAAAGCAACATTTTTTTGCATGTCAAAAAATATTTCATATTTACACGCATACATAATATTTATAAACAATATGGTTTCTATTAAATCCCTTAGTAACCCTTTGTTAACACTAATCAGCCATAATTTACTCCTTCCCCTTCAGCTTATATTTTCCTTCTGATTTTTTCCCCCTCCATTTATTACTATTTAATATTTTTATAAAACCTGAAATGTAAAAATTGCTCATGGGGTGTACCAGTGCAACATGACATGGTTAAAGCCCAACTAACATTTTTTTGAAAACGGCAGCCATTATTTCAGGGTGCACCATAATATTGGATTTAAAAGGTTTTACCCGTCATATCTGTGCAAGAATGGCTTCCTGCCACAAATGCTCCACATTCCCTTTGAGACTGATCACATGTATGAAGGCCTAGGTCCTCGGTCATCTGACTTCTCCTGAAGATACAGATAAAAGTTCAGGAAGGACAAGTCCCCCCTTCAGCAGACTTCATGTGAATAAGGGTTTAGGTGATCACACATCTGATCAGTCAAAGGGAACTTCAGTCATCGATGACATGTGGATATAGGTCCCCTTTAAATCTGGTTTCCTCATTTTCAGTGAAGACAACAATGATGAGCATCAAACCCCACGGGTCTTTTCCTTGGTCACCACCATTATGCTTCTTACTAGGAAGAAAGGACAAATACATGATCAGTGAATGAGAAGCAGAAAATTGATGGGTGAACCTGTTACCTTTTTCTCCACAGGAACCTTGTTGTAGTACCGGATCGAGTCTTTACCCAGGAAGTCAAACTCCACCACATGCTTCTCTCCATCCAGTTCTGGGTAAAGTTTAATGTGCTCCACTCTCAGCGAGCAGCAACCCACGGTGTCGGCCGTTTCCCCTTCTTCCTTTTCATTACCTGCTCTCAGAGCCAGCTGAGGATGGCAAATTCACGTAAATGACAAACTAATGCAAAAGACATTACAAAGAAACTCAGTGGTCTCCAAATCCACACCACATCATGCATGAGAGAGTCTATCTAATGAATCAATCCATACAAAATTCCAACTGAATCACGTTTTATCGCTACAAATAAAACACTTTAAAATCTCCTTAGAGGTTTTAAAATGTGTTATTCGTAGCAATAAAATGTGTTTTTTTGTTGGAAGAGTTTTGTATGGATTTATTCATTAGACTCTCTCATACATGAGGTGGTGTGAATTTGAAGACCACTAAGTGTTTCTTGGTAATAATGTGGCACGAGAGTAACATTTATTTGAACAATGATTTCCAAGCCTACATAGGTCCCCTTAGGATTTCACTAATGCAACTGGAACCGGGGACTGAGCCATGTGCAGCATCTTCTGATGTGTTCATGGTGATGGAGAACTTTCTGGGATGAATGACGGTGGAGAAAACATAGTAGCTATGAGTAGAGACAAGTTAACCATTGCAGCTTATGCAGGCGAGATCAGGGAAATCCCTACAGGATGGCAATGTCTGACTTTAGTGCAGAAGAAGCTTCCTATAGCTGTAATAGGTCTGCGTTATAAGCAGTTGGGCCAAAGGGAACAAAGCGTCCTCTAATATAATAAAGAAATAGAGCACTCCCACAATTTTAGCATCCAGGGTAACAGTTAGAACCACAACTGAGCACCTGCTCCTGTGGTGGGATGGTTGGGCTTCAAACTCTAACTGCTCTGATGTAACAGTTATATGGGCAGGGCAGGGGACAGGATGGTTTCCTGTGTGTCACATGACCAAGTGCAGGGACTGCATAGGAAGTTGTCCCTGTACCTACTTTGGCTCATTGTAAAAGTGGGAAATCACTCACTCGCCACACTTGACTGCAAGTATTACGTTGTAGCAGTTAAGGGGTATTTATGCAACCGTCATTGCTTGCTGGAAGCAATGCATGATGGGATATGCAGTCTTGAGAAATTGAGATTGCATCACATCAAGCAGCAGGGAAAGTGATGGAAAGCACACTGGGAATCCAGGAAGTTGGTAGAAGTGATGGACAGACGGAAGGCAGCGCTCACTACATAGAAGGGATTTTTTTCAAGTAAGCTTTGATTGTATTATCAGAGACAACTCCAGTATGTATTCCTATTACAATGCTGATGTTATAACAGGAGAGGAAATGCTGGGACTTTACAGCTCCTCTAAGGAGGGTACATGAAGGGAGTGCTTTAAGGTGTGCCTCCGGCTAAAACCTAGAACTACTCCACATCATACAGACCTCTCACCTTGTCTATAAAGTAAAGGGCCACCGCCCTCTGTCGTATCTTCATCTCTTTGGATTTAAAGTTCTCCCGATAGGTATTCCTAATCTTGACAACATGATTCTTCAGCTTTCTAGCGACTTCATACTTTTCCCAATCTTTCTCTCCCTTAGGAGAAATGGACAATGCTTGATTATTAATGTATAAAGCCTGAAA